CTACATTACAGACCTATTCTGGAATTTGTTGAGCCAGTTTGGTCCATTGTTAATTCAATATTTTAGTTTCCTGGATGTTTTTCAATTTAATATAATGGTTACAGTCCACTCTGGTTTAGTCCAGCCTAGTTTATAGACAGCACTGTTCTGTGTAGTTTGTGGTGATCTTAGGTGAATCAAGGAAAATAGTAACAAGAAGGTTTATACGTGGAGGCTAGGGCTCCAGGTTTGAGGGCATCATTGGAAGTCTCAAGTATTACAATGCTTCCCAATCTTTGGATATTCAGATGGAAAGACAAATCTCAGGGTGAGCAATGTTGGAGGGGAAAATGTGTAAGATAGTTTTAAAGTCTGTGCGCCCATCTTCATCTGTTACTCAGATTCCCAATTGGTACCAGGATTTATTGTCTTAATACATGAAGGTGTTGTATGAATTGTAGCTCAAAAATTCACAATGTGCCAATTGCTTATACTCACTAGCTCTCTCTGCAGTCCTCTTCACTTACTTCTGGCTCTTTGGCATAGCAATTTAGGGCCCATCATGCTGTTTGGAGCAAGGGAGTGAGTGGAGCATCAGCACCACAACAACCCATGAGGCTTCTTTCTGCACAAGCCCAGGTGACAGAGAAAAAACTCTGTCAACCCAGTCCTTGTCAGTGGTGCCTCTGTGTAATCATAATACAGACAATAGAATAACAAGACAAAGTACAAATTAATCAATACAAAATTAAACAAATAAAAATAATATCAGTAAACATTATCATAAAAAGGGAGAGGAAAAAGATGGCGGTGTTGAACAGTAAATTGAATCAAGATAGAGTAGAGTCTGGGAAGGCCTGTCTAAAAAGGAATGTTTTAAATAATTTCTTGAAAGTCAGTGGAATTAAGTACCAGTATGGCCCTTCTTTCTTAATAGGCATAGAACTGCAGCTTTTATGCTACAACTGAGACCAATTTGGCCTACATTTGACAGGGAATTATCTTATATAATCTTTGAACTCTTGGTGCATTACTTGTAAATAACAAGGAACCCTTTAACATCTATAAAATGGTCCATTTTATTCTTAATGCTCTGCTGGAGAATATAGTAGTTGAAAACCAATACAGAAGTTAGAACGGAAGCAGTTTCCTAGGGACCAGATGAAGCACTCTCTTGACAAAGTATTAGTGCCATTTAATAAATCAACATCTTAACAGAGTCCAGATGGGAAAGACTCTCATGTGACCAGGTACACAGAATTCAAAGAAAAGAAAATAATCAAGAAAGGGGCTTCAAATTAGTAGATGATTGGCACAAGACATCATGGATTCTTTTAGTATGAAACATTGGTATACATGATTCCGTCTTCTGGTCTTGAATTTGAAGCATATATTCTTCTGCACAGGATTTGATGGACATGGGCAGCATCCAGGGCATTCACTGCTATATTGGATGCTTTTTTAAAGCTCTTAAACCACAGGCTCAGGTAACAGATGCACATCAAGGATGTACTGCAAACTTTTGTGGAACTTTACTTGCATTCACTAAAACAAATGGCTACTGTTTAAGAATAAGAGTTTGGAAATATACCATTGTACAGCAATAGTGGGCAGATTCCAGATATTAGCGTTTGCTGGCATATCAGTAGTTGAAAGGTCTCAGCCTATCATCTGAAACAGGATTGCAAAGAGTGAGTTTGTCAGCACCTTGAAAACAAGGCAGTCATAATTAGAAGTAAACATGGATTTGTCAAGAGCAAATTTTGCCATATTGATCTTATCTTATTTTTTGATTAGGTAACCTCCCTGGCAGATTATGTGACATAAAATATCTTGACTTCAGCAAAGCTTTCATCACAGTGCCCCATGATATTCTGACTAACAAGCTAACTATGTGTGGGCTGGACTGAACAGTGATCAGGTGGATGCACAGTTTATTTCAGAACCACACTCAGAAAGTGCTTATTAATTGTTCCTTCTCAAGCTGAGATGAGTTAGCAAGTGTCCTGGGTGCGGGGTTCCAAAATTTTTATTAATGACTTGGATGACAGAGTGCAGGGAATGCTTATCAAATTTGTGCAAGAAACAAAATTGGATGGAATAACTAATAGCCTGGAATACAGAAACAAAATTCAAAGAGATCTTGATAGTCTGTAGCACTGGGCTGAAAATAACAGAATGAAACTTAACTGGGATAAGTGCAAAGTTTTACACCTAGGAAGAAGAAACCAAGTGCATGGTTACAGGATGAAAGATAGTTGACTCATCAGCAATACTGCATGCAAGAAGCATCTTGGAATTGTTGTGTACAATTGATACAGAATTGCTGCACAAATGGGTAGCACAGAGCAAGGCCACCATAAAAATATGTGATCCTCATTAGGTTTATTTGTTCTTAAGCTCAGAAACTGGGGATTGGAGATAAGAGGGAATGTTGCTTCTCTGAGGAGTCTGGAGAAATAGCCTGCAGAAAGTCACATCTATATGTTGATCTGCTTTCTGGTTTATTAAACCTCCTTGTTCTGGGGCTGTGGTCTCCATAACTTCCCTTACAAACAAGTTTCTATTTTTCATCAGCTTTTCTGTGCACACATGCACTCATACACAGAGAGAGGCAAGCTTTGCAGTGATGTTATTTAGATCTTGTCATCTGGTAACAGGTGTTAGTACAGTAGTTTCTATGGACGGAAAAGAGCAGATACGGATTAAATGGTTTTCAATGCATTCCTATGGGAAATGCAGATTCAACATAAGAACTTTTCAACTTGAGAACCACCTTCCAATACGGATTAAGTTCTTAAGTAGAGACCCCACTGTAGGATATTTATATAATTTTTATATTTTGTGTTGTAAGTTTACATGGGAAGATGTTAGTCTTGAAAGATGACTCAGAAAGGCATTCGTGTGCAAACAATATAAAGTATAGTCATAAAATAACACAGGGCAGCATAGCAGACAATTTACGCCATAAGGTGGAATGTAGACATGGAAGAGTTCAATTGATTATTTATGCACTTGCTTCAGACTTGGACATATAGAAAGATATTTCCAGCCATTGCCACAAAGGTGTATCTCTGTCTCCAAAATATAAATTGGGAAGGTCCTCAGAGAAAAAAGTGGCTTTTAAAAGTGATTTAAACTCCTTTTCTTTCCAAAACTGATCTTGTTTTCAGCATCATCATTTAATCATGTGCAGTGGTGAATTTAATCATGGTACAGTGGTGCCTTGACTTATGAACGTCCCTACTTACCACCATTTCGAGTTACGACCAGCTCAGGCCGCAAAAATTTGCTTCTACTTGCGGCCGGAGCTTCCACTTACAAAGAGAAAAAGGCGGGAAATTCATATTTCTAACTGTAGGTGGTAACAAGGCTTCTTCTTTGTAGCTCTTTTGCCCCAGCGGTTAGAGAGTGTGCGTCGGAGGAGGCTTGGGACTGCCTCCTTCTGCTTCTGAGTGTGTGTGTGTGTGTGTTTGCAGAGAGGCTTCGGGCTGCCTGGTAAGGTAAGGTGCTGTTTTCTGCTTTTTAAAAACTGTTCTGGGTATTTTTGCAGCATGGTTTTGAGCTGGGGAGGGTTATGTTTCTGTGTTGTGATGGGTCTTGGGTTTTTTTTTCTCCCCCAATTTCCAATGGGTCTTGGGGGGTTTGTTGCTTTTTTGAATGTTTTTTCCCATTTCCGATGGGCCTTGGAGGGTTTGTTTGTTTTTCGGTTTCCCTCCATTTCCGATGGGTCTTGGGGGGTTTGGTTGCTTTTTGGATTTCCCCCCATTTCTGAATGGGTCCTACATGCTTCCCTTGTTTTTTCCTTTGCTTTCTTTGCATTTCCGACCTGCCCCCTTTGTTCTCTCTGCATTTCCTATCTGCTCCGTATGTTTTCTGTGCATTTCCAATGGGTCTTGCACGTTTGATTGCTTTTCTTCCCACCCCCCTTTGGCCAGAAGGGATTAATCACGTTTCCAATGAATCTTGCAGTGACTTTTTGTGATTTTTTTTTCTCCGGCCGGAACGGATTAATTGCATTTCAGTGCATTCCTATGGGAAATGGTGCTTACGACCATTTCGAGTTATGTCCATCTTCTGGAACGGATTGTGGTCATAAGTCGAGGCACCACTGTACTGTAGATACTAAATAAATATAGATGGCTGCAGTTGGTAAGCCTGTATAAACTGAAAGTGTTAATTATGTTTACAAATCTAAAATGCTTGTTGGGATTTTATCATTATTTGACATACAATTACCATATGATCATTAGTGCATGTAATTAATGCACAATTGTATGGCATTTGCTTTCCTGACACCTTGCTCTTGTTTAATATCCCTTGTCATGACACTAATGTAAAGAAAACACAAATACCTCCCTAGATATAATATGCTATAGCACATAATAATATTTTCCTTAGCTCAGTGCCATCCATGCCCAGGTATTCTTACATTTTCCTAAGCAGACCACATATGGTAATATTTAGCATATACTCTGAGACTGTGAATTACCAGTCACCTTTGAAAGGAAACTTTCAATTATATTCTACTATTCAGTTCTGAATCTTCTTATCTTTTTTTCTGGCTTAGTTATTGTCAAATAGCTCTTCTCTGTAACTAAACAAAAATAACCCTATTACACAGTAAAGCTGGTTTATAGCTCCTCAGTGACTAAGAAACACTAAAATTCCATTAAGTATAATCTCCTTTTAAAACTTCATCATAACACCCACTATCTTCTTGGAAAAGAACATTTTAAAAGCATCTTTCAGCACTGTGCAGTATTGAGAGAGGTCTTATTAGCCCAGTGATTTGCAAGAGAAGAGAGCCTTCTTTTAGAAGAGGTAGAAAGTTTCTTTAAAATGTTGCAGGAGTTGAATCTTCTTCTTCTTCTTCTTCTTCTTCTTCTTCTTCTTCTTCTTCTTCTTCTTCTTCTTCTTCTTCTTCTTCTTCTTCTTCTTCTAGTTCCTTTAAGCAAGCTTTATATATATATTTTCTTCTATTTCTTCCAAAACAATATTTTTCCCCACCATTTTTCTAGGTTTCACCTGGCGAGATGATTATACGCAGCATGTTATTGCCCGTGAAATCTCCAATCTCCATAAGGTCCATGATTGGCGCCGTGAGACATTATCCTCGGAGGACTCAGAGACACAAAGGTAAATCTTGCATTTTATATACTCTAATTCTATTATTCATTTGATTATCAATAAAATAAAATAAAAATCATGTACTGTTAAATCAGTTCTGAATTTTTAGGGTTCTAGGTAGAGGATACTCAGAAGTGGTTTACTATTAGTCCCAGAAGAAATAAATAGTAAACCACTGTGTGGCTTGCCCATGGCTACACAGTCTGTCTCTTTTCCCAGGAGGGACAGTAGGGAATTGAACTCCGAACCTCTGGCTCTGCAGCCAGATACTTAACTCACTGAGATATCCATCCAGTCGATTACCATCATGGGAAATAAATATTTCACAAACTCCAAAATCTAAATCTGCAAATTTCACAGGTCTGTGAAAAAGTGGACATGTGAAAACCATTTATAAGAGGAGGGGGGCTTCCTTCCTTCCTTCCTTCCTTCCTTCCTTCCTTTTTGTGGCTTTTTTGGGTCAAGTAGCGATCCATCTCCTGTTACTTGTGAGTCTCAGCATCTTGGAATTACTTATTTTGTTTCTCTAACTGTATCCCACACAGCCTCAAGTGAAGTTGATATGAGAGAACCTTCAGCTTCCTTTTCTTCATATTGTTACTACTATTTGCCACCCTTCATGGGTGGGTTGGAAGCTGTGCAAAGCTCTTGCATAATGCTAGAGAAGGCTCCACTTGATGGTTTAATGTAAAAGAAAGATGGAGTCCTTACTACATCTCAGTGTGAAGTAAGACAAATAGAAATAGTAGTATGTCTAGCCAGTCACTGGCTCAGCCCATTCTCCCATGAGGCAAATTTCAGGCTTAATGTACAATAAATGTTGTACTCTGAAATAGAACTGTCCTTTGGTTTTGCTAATTTTGGCTTCCAATATTGATGTGTTTCCAGGATCAGGGGAAGAATGAGGAAGCCACAAATCGGCACGCATAAGACACTTACTCATTCCAGAAGGACAGGAGTCTTCCCCCTGCTAAGCCACTTTGTACCTATCACTGTTTGTTCTGTTCTTTTCTTGAGTTGTGTGCATCTGTTTGCACAACCACACTTCCATTCACATGTGAACAGTGTTGTTTGGAATAGCATTCTGAGATCTATTTTCAATAATATCCCCATCATTAGAGGTGGAACAATATTTATAAGGGGCTACTGCTAGGGTTTTGAATGACCTGCCCCTAAAAGCCAGGTTAGTTCCCTCCCTCTAGTCCTTCAGTTTTAAGAAAAAAACCTTCCTTTTCATACAGGCTTCTAAGCATTAGTGATTTTATTTTTTAACGTTTTAGTTTTTAAAATCCTGATTTTAATATAGGCAAATGTTTCATATCATTTTTGTATGATATTTTAAAAACTGCGATCATTGAATTGTTTTATTTTGTTTTGAACCGCCTTTTGTTGTGAACCACCTTCCCCTATGGGGAAGAAGGTGGCATATATATATAACTGCTATTTAGTGATGGGGGTATTCATATTTGTACAGTATATGAATATCCCTCTACAGGTGCAGATAATGAGGGTCCAGCCCCATGAGGCCAGACGGTCCACTCACAATTGCGCCGCTGCTGCGACTGCTGCAGAGCCTTCCAATGGCTCCGGAGATTGTTTTTGGCAAGCCACTCTATGACCTAGCAGAGGGGCATATTGTCCTGCCTCCTGCCAGGCGTGGTGAGCTGAACATGATCTCTGGAGCCATTGGAAGGCTCCGCGGTAGTCAAGGCGGCGGCAGAATCATGAGTGGACTGTGAGTGGATCCTCATTATCTCTACCTGTGGGTTACTCTCAACTTTGGAAAAATTAGTCACATGCAGTTAAACACTATGCATTTAACAATAAAGAAATGGATAATTTTTAAATCCAGTAATATTTTATTATGTGGACAAGATTTGTTAATTTTGTTCTTGACATGCAGGACCTCAAAACAGAGTCCTGATAGCATCCGGAATTTAGGCCTGGAAAAGGATGTGAACTTTGCTGAATCTCCTCATCAGTACTTTGCCTATCTGGATATTCTCTCCCAGTCTGCAAGTCCAAATTTATATTCAAGGCTGAAGGGCAACAAAGCCTCTCCTAAGGTAAAGATTTTTTTAAAGTATGCTTCTCTCTTCATATTTACTTTGTTGATAGATTTTGCTATTTGTGTGAAGTTGTGACAATAAAAAGTTGCTTTTTTTAAAATAATGCTTACTAAAAATTGTGTATGATCATTAGGAGGGAAGATTTCTGTTTTTTTCTACAATCTATGTTTGAGTTTATGGGTGAGTTTGAATATGGTTATGAGTAATCTGGTGCAAAAGGCCAGGTTACTCATTAATATGTCGAACTTGCTTATGGGTTCAAATGTAGGTAGCAGAGAAAATGTGAAATGTCAATAGAAATCCTCCCCCTAAATTGATAATTATGCCCTTCCCATACCACCCAAGGTCAGAACTCTGCATGAGGCAGAGGACTGTCAGCTGTGAACTTCAAGGCAGACCTCCCTTAATTGGTAGAAGAAGTCTGTTCTAATATGAGTTATTTTTATCACTGCTTTTTGCAGATTAGGTTGCTTTGTTTTGTGTTTGGTCACTGAGTGGTAAATGCGGGCTTCATTAGCAAGTCTGATTGCTCATGCACAAACTTTGAAGCAATCCTGTTACAGGAGAGTAATGTGCTGTTAGCTTCCAATTGCAGACTGAATGCCCAGCTCAGGTTGACCCATAGTGATTAAGAGCATGAGTCTTTGTCTAAAATCTCAGCTCAGCCATGAATTTATTTAGTGGACTTCAGCAAAACCCTCCCACACATAAACCATCTCCCTCAAGTTCCTGTTTGTAATACTGATACTGTATATAATAAATATTTTATTACGGTCATTGACCAGCAAAAGTAAACAACATTATTTAAATTAGGAAACATAAAATCAATCTAAAAGCACTAAAACATCTGTATACATATATATAACTACATTCATACATTTTATTAGATATCTCCTGCCTCCCTATCATAGGCCTTGTCTATGGGCTATTGTAGCTTGGATAGAAAGACAGAATTGTTACTTAGAAGCTCATGGAGCCCGTGTGATCATTAAAGTCTCTACGTGTATACACCAATATACGGATACTATAGCTGCACTTTGAGAGGAACCTTTCCTTCACAGATTTTGATTGCAGCAGCACAGAATTTAGCTGCTTTTGTCAATATATCTGAATTTTGGTTTAGCCTAGAATATCTGCCAGGGCATCACCCTGTCAGCAAGAGCCATGTGTAATACGCCTCCGATCATCCAGGAAATGCCCTTATGTAAGGGTTAACAAGGACTTCTCAGATGCCAGAGTAAAAAGCACAATAAAGTAACACATTGGAGATGGTTTGAATCTCACCAGAGTTAAAGGGGCATATACACTGAGTGTAAGGGGTGTTGTTATACTTCCCTACCTGGACTGCTGACGGAAGTGCATTGAAGCAGGCCAGAGTAATACTGATATTGTAGTACTAGCCAATATTTATTTATTTATAGTATTTATACCCTGCTGTTTGGTTAAAAGTTGCTCAGTTATCTACAACAGATTGCAAACAACCTCAGGCCGTTTATAACCTCTGGCAGTTTACAAAAGATTGCAAACAGCCTTAGGCAGTTTGCACTCCCAATATACATTCCAGCGGCCAGGTCAACCTCTCCTTTTGGTCTGCAGTACCAGAGTGACTGGCAGTTGGAATCCAACATACTTTCTGGTACTGAAGAGAAAAGCAAGCTTAGAATAACAAGTGATGGTTCCCGAGAAGAGGATCTTCACTGATGTTATACTTTCCCTGGAAGCAACACCAGACAAAGTCTAGACAGGATAAGTGAAAATTGAAGATTATTGCACTGGGCTTAGAGGTAAATGTGTTGAAAGAGGTATAATCTTTTGTTATTGTTTTTTATATTTATTGAAGTTATACTTCACTTCCAGAAGTGCAAACTGCAAATTTGATGATCCAACAGTAATGACAATAATTTCTAGCATTTTAATTTGTTTTTAAATTTTATCTATATTTCATATACATCCATAATTTTAAATTGCACAATGTTCTGATATGACTAAGAAAGAAAGATGCAGGAAAGCACTTGCTGATATACACAATGGCAGCATTGTCAATTGAAATGTTCTGTGTGGATAATACAGTATTTCTAGCTAACCATTTAGATGATTGGGTTACTTAACTAAAGGTTACTCAATAAAATCAGTGAAGTAAATAGTGTTAAATGTTAAAGGCAAAATAAACGTATTAGAACCAAAGTTTATGGCCATCAGTAAAAAGCAAGCAGACTATGTAATGCAGAAACCTGCTTCTGAGAATGAAAAGATAAAAGATAAAAGATAAAGTGATGCAATAGAGTCACAACTTCATTTAATAACTACTTAGACTTCACATCACTCTTCAGCAAATCTCCCATGTTGCAGATTCTATGCCTAAATGTGCCCTATGTAGCCACCATTACGACCCTATATTCTCTGTGTTGTCCTACTTATGATATGGTCATGTATGCTAGAATATTTCAATCATATTCTGCCTGAAATCTGTTACACAGATCCCCGTGTGCAATGTGAAGCCACAACAGAGGTGGGAAAAAGGGCAGCAGTGCAGAAATGCTGTTCATGAAACACTTCCACACACATGTCGTGCCGCAGATGTGAAGGATCACTTGCACAATCAAATTGTGGAGTCCTGGTTGTCTGGGTATAATATATTCCACACTTCTGCTGGTGTAACTTTATGTTATGCCAGAATGAACAGGATTTCAGCCACCAAGAAACAATATATACAGATTGCTACAATTAATCATTCTGGAAAAATAAGTAGGAAAAGGAATCCAGAAAAGAAAAGAAAAAAAAGTATTGGCTGAAAAACCTGGGCGACTGCTTTGGATGTAAATATTTTTGTTAAGTGCTGCCACATCATAACAACTATAGTCAGAATACCTATCATGGCATCCATCCTCCAGTAGGAGAGGAACAAAAAGAGGAGGAATTTCTTTTCTGATGTAAAGGATAAAACTCTGCAATGTCTTTAAGTACAGTATCTTTGTTGCATTGTCTCAGCAAGGGTCCATGAAGTACAGAGAACTAGAACTTCATGGGAAATTCTTAAAACAATAAACATTACACAGAGAACTGAGGCAAGGTAACAATAGTCTTATTCATTTTTGTCCAAGATAAAGCAATAACAAGATGGTGATGGTCACATAATGCTTTTTCAGATTTTGGTTCTTCAGTGGTGTTAAAATATATTCTAAATTTGGTTGTCACTTTTTGTAACTATAATACATCAGGCATACGAAAACTCTCCTTTGTTATAATATATGTGAACTACCTCAAGTGTTTGTACAAAGCCAGTAGTAATTCAGACTTTATGGAACACGACAACAGGTGTGTCTGCCAGGGTGAAAGAAGCTCACAGAAATGTCAAAACAGTTTTTAGAATTAATTAATGGTGCCTTTTGCCTCTGGTGTTTTTTGCTCAGATATTTTTGAAACTCAGGTTTTTGGTATTGAGGCACTGACTGAGGATGTCATTCTTTGAAGATAGTGGGAAATGAGAATTTGTCCAAGAGGTATTTCAGCGATGCTGTGGATGTCATATGAATTCATAAATAATCTATATGATGGAGCTCTTTGGTGGGAAACAGTGCTGTGATGACACCACTCACACCAAGATTATTGTAGGTTGCCTTGGAGACAGGCACCCAAAAGTGTTGTGGCTGGAGAATGAAAATGAAAAATATTGGAATAAACATTGAAACATTGGAATAAAGAATGAGAAACATTTGAAAAAGCATATACAGTGCATGCTGATTGTCTGCAGCAGTAAGAAGAACAATTATACAAATAAAAAGTAAATGAGAAAATATCCTTTAAATTAATATGTCTTACTGACATGGTGTCCTTTTATTGCCTCAAAATTAAGGGCAAATCTTTAATAAGAAAAAAAAAAGTACTATATTTGCACCATGATTCTGCAAATTTTCACAAGTGTACCCTGTGAGTAATGAAATGTGTGAAACAGTAGAGTCACCATATCAACTGCAGTATTTTAAAGAGAAAAAGTTATAAACTGTAAACCCATAAGAAGGTTACTTGATCTTTTTCTTATGAAGCTCAAATCAGTTTTGTTTCCGTGCAAAGACTGTTGCAATAGGCAGTTGCATGGATCCTTTATATGAAAATCTGTTCATGGGCAATGTAGAAAATAACATCCTTAAACAAACAGATCAATAACAGACCTCTTATATTTTGGTGATACATTGGTCATATTTTTATGGTTTTCAGGGAATGCCTTAAACATTTCAATTATTGTATCAAATATATTAATCCCACAATCAAATTTACATGTAAACAGCACCATTAAAAATCCATACATTCCCTTCTTTAACATACTTCTTACCAGTGAGAACAAAAAAGTCACTGATCTATAAATAAGCCCATGGATGCCCACATTTGCCTAGGCTAGGGATCCTACTGTGGCAAATGTTTAACAAAAAATACTGTAGATGGTTTAGGTCTCAGAATTGGACACATCTGTAACACTAAAGAAAAGTATCAAAAATGTGAACTCAAGGATCACATACTTCAGTGAGGACATTGTCAACATAATCGTTGATTCTAATATCAAGAGAGCAGCCATGTTTCCAAAGGAGAATCTTGTCCTTCAAATTATGAATTGAACAAGCAACAATGTATTTCATCTGTGGTAGATTTCCATCTAACATATCCTAAGTACAACACGGTAGTCATCACAATCCTGTGATGCCATAACTACAGCGATTATGTGTAAGAACTGTCATAAACTATCAGACAGCAATCCTGGATCACATCCTTGTGATTCCAAGTGCTGCATTACCTGTATGTACATTGTGAAGACAATCTCTTTTCAGAGCACCGTCACTGTCAGGACCTACTCCATTAAACAGGTCATCACCTGTAGGCCCTGTACTTATTTTATGTCATTCAATGTGTGCACGCACGTGCATGCGCATGTGCATGCGCGTACACATACACATACTTCTAGAATCATAAGTCTGCAGTGTTTACCAAGGAATTAGAAAAAACAG